GCTTTGCAAACCAACTTCATGTGTCCCATTTAAGCACAATTAAAGCATTTAGCATGACGAAAGACACATGAATTACGCAAGTGAAATTCGCCACAGGACAAGCACTCACTGAACCTGTGCTCACCTGTAACCTGCTTTGAAATTCTTTGTTGAATGATAATGTAACTCATCATGACAACTTAACAATGTATTATAAGTGAGGATATATCAATGCATATAGAAAACTATGGACATATAATCGACTGAAAAAATCTAAAGATCTTGGATAAAGGGAATCCTAAAAATTCCAGGGAATTTTTTGAAGCTTGGCACTCAGATCAATCTTCAATCAACAATTACATTGGAATCGATCCAACTTAACAACCTATCAGAAAAATTATGGACAAACATAAAACAAAAAATTAAACTAATGGGAGACACAACTAAAATAAAGAAGTAAATAATTATAGGTTTAAGGTCAACACGAACCAATCAACATCGTGGTCTACAGAACAAACTGTGAGCATATGGGGAAATTCGAACACTTCACTTCTGCTTGAAGTTTGTGCTGATGATGGCGTTCAGAAGAACGATGAAAGCGCCGCGGCCAAACCATCCATTTCAAAGAACAAAGCTCAATCAAAATCATCCACCTGAGCTGCAAATCTGCACCATCCCAAGCATCGAGTCTTTAGCTTTCTGATCATTCTGCCACAACACCTTGTGAAACTTCGACCTTGCTATTCATTCAAATCCAGCACACTGCACATGGCTAATCAGTAATTCGTTGAGAGAACCACATGACAATAAAGTTGGTTTCTCTAGATAGACGGGATTTTTAGCTGGCTATACACTTTTTTGCCAGTAGATGTTAGGAAATAAGCCGCGAATTTATAGACTTTAATATGTTTTTTAACCACTCACCGTAATTTGAACTGCAATATCTGGTCTTCACGGATATCCTCATTTGAGATCATATCCATTTGTCCAAGATTTGACTACATCGCTACACCAGTATACCAATGAAACTTATTCCAATTAATTTTCTAAGAATTGCTGAAATAGTGCAATTCAGTGCAGTAGAACTAGATCCACACAAATGAACGTACTATATTTGGAATTCGTAATAAACGTACAGTTAAGTTCACAGGAATCATCAGTTAGTACAAATACCATATTTGCTTGATGTTATCGATATCTTTCATGAAATGTCATGATACCGGCAAACTTTAAAACAACTCAATGTACATTGGAGTTATTATACAGAAATTTGAAAAGTTGTGTAAATGCAAGTTTAGTTCGTCTAGGCCATAAAAGATCCAGTTTACATGTTTCAGACCTAACTTTATAAGATAGATCAGCAGTAATAAGTCATGTAAAGTAACGTCGCAATTTCTTTATTTTGTCGGTCAAGGACTTTCAGTATACGTTTAGGGATCAACTATGTACGTTCTAGAAAATCATATTACAACCCTAGAACTAGAAGTTGTGACTGATAAACTTGATAAGTCTAAGAGCCATGAAGACTTATGATGTTGATAGACCAGTGAATTTTTCACTCCCAAATCTCAGACGCAGTTTAGTTTTCGCAATTTCAGCTTATTCGGACGTAAGCTTATCTGTGAGTTAAGCTTACCAAAATGCATGTGCCAAACCTTTGAGTATTAAGAGGAAGAAACTATTCATCAGACCGGTTTTGGATTTTACCCAGAACTTTTTTATACTTTTATATCTAGACTACGAACTGAAGAGAATGTATACAGAACTTCAGGGTCGTCGGCAGATAAAAAGGCTTTTCAAGTGTAAAACAACTATATATGTTATTAATGTACAAATTGAACAGTTGGAGTCCGATGGCTGAACACTGGAGGACATCAGTATCAATGTTCCGAAGGTAGGAGAAGTGTTGCTCTGTTTTCACCGCCTAGGTTCCATTCTTTAGGAAGGATGAGATCCATTTGTTCATTTTACCCACTCTACCAAATGTTTTTAATTTAAATGGTAGAGACAAGTGCTGTACTTTATCAAATGGTTTGCTCAAGTCAAACTATTGAGTAATACCTACTTTCACTTCATCCCTATTTTTACTATATGATGATACGATACATTCAGGGACAATCCAGCCATCAGATAACCAATTGATATCCCCTTTGTATATAGGCCTTAAATGGAATAACAAATGTTGGCGTTCAACTAGTGATTATCGACGACTCAATACAAAAACTCATCCTGATTACTAACCCTTACAATACATGCACAGCACAAAAGCAACCTTTTTTCAAAAATCAACCTAATTGGAGGATAATATCAAAATTCTACTGGCACGAATGATATTTATAAAGCCGAAAAATCATCAAATCAGATGACGGTTTGATGAAAAGATTGTTCGCAGTATAAGGAAATATCGTTAGATAAATTGTTCTTGCATACATCAATAACAAAACAGCCGTTAGTATCTCTCAATATATTGTAGCGGTAAATAAATCCCCAAACTAAATAGCGCTGTAGGTTTTCGACATTGGATGCTGACCATATGTTTTAGTAGACTCATCTAACTGAAGGCGCTCGGTCATGCATCCGCATCAGATCACGTGTGGTAACGCTGTGCTCAACATCTACCGCAATCGCTAGCCAGATAAGGTCAGAGAATTCCGATATATTGGTTATCGCCAAATACACTCTTCCGATCTTCTCGACTCTGTCTTTTGATTTCTCTCGGTGGGAACAAAGTATATTAGAAGGTGTTACTGGTAGAAGCGTTGTCAAACACTGAATACCTGTATCATCTTCATTGGTGAGACCGTCGTGATCTGGTACACCTAATTGCAACTGTGAGTCTGTTCCTTTTTGGGATTCTCATATATCATTACCTTATTTTTTAAACATTGTGATTTTTTTTTCGTGTTTTTTCTTGGATATATATATTTTCCCCTCGTTCATTATCGTACTTCATATTTCACTCGATGGCCAGAAGCAGTACCTATCAAGGACATCACTGCTGAAACAGTGGCCCGCACCTTCGTCGAACGATGGGTAGCAAACATCGGTTGCCCTTTAACCATCACTACAGACCGCGGACGTCAGTTTGAGTCTGAACTTTTCCGTCGTCTGACCACACTATCGGGAAGCACTCGCTTCCGAACGAACGCCTACCACCCACAAGCAAACGGGTTGGTAGAACGCTTTCACCGACAACTAAGAGCGTCACTATCAGCTGCAAACGTTTCACAGTGGACCGACGCTCTTCCACTCGTCCTACTAGGTATCCGCAATGCAGGGAAGGCTGACATTGGATACACTGCGGCTCAACTCGTTTATGGAACGAAACTTCGACTTCTAGGAGAATTCGTGCATCCTTCATACTCTTCAATGAGCATGGATCTAACCTCCTAAACGAACAGGCTTACAAACGCAATGCGTACAGTTAAACCTTCTTCCACTCGACCTCAATCAACTGATGTTCTCGTTCAACCTGACTTACGATATAGTACACACGTTTTCGTTCGTCGAGACTCTCATCGACGATCTTTCGAATCGGCATACGAAGGACCTTTCAAAGTTCTTCAACGCGAACCGCAGTACTATATAATCGATAAAAACGGAACCAACGATAGCATCAGCATCGATCGCCTCAAAGCAGCGTATTTAGAAGGAAATCCTATCTACGTGGATATTCCTTCGGTAATATTAAACGACACGACTCCGACACTTATAATACCTCATCCGACAACCAACACACACGATGATACTTCGACAGTATCCGAAAATAAACCTAAAACGACGCGTTCTGGAAGAAGAGTGAGATTTCCAGAACATTTAAACGACTATTGCACGTAAGGCACTTCTCGACATTTTCTATATTATTTTAAGAAAAATTTTTTTAATATGCTTATATATTTTCATTTCTATTTCAAAAAAACCGAAACCAAAAAAAACAATTTTTTTAACGCTATTACGTGTTCATGAGTTCATTTTCCTTTTTTTACGCACATACGAGTGTATTTTCGACATGCACTTACATTTTCTTTTTTCTTTTCCAGGACGGCTGGAAAAGAACGATGACGTTTAAAAGGATCCGAAATTTTCATTGTACATTTCTTTTTTTACTATGTTGTACCCCGGTCCCATATAGTAAGGAAAGACGACCAGACGCTGCTAAATTTAGTAAGCCATCAGAAGAGTGTTTACCAACGACAAACTCGTTGGGTTTAAACTTCTGGCTGGCCACGTCTTGGGGTCATCACTACCCCACTAGGGGGAGAGTGATCTGTAGCGGTAAATAAATCCCCAAACTAAATAGCTCTGTAGGTTTTCGACATTGGATGCTGACCATATGTTTTAGTAGACTCATCTAACTGAAGGCGCTCGGTCATGCATCCGCATCAGATCACGTGTGGTAACGCTGTGCTCAACATCTACCGCAATCGCTAGCCAGATAAGGTCAGAGAATTCCGATATATTGGTTATCGCCAAATACACTCTTCCGATCTTCTCGACTCTGTCTTTTGATTTCTCTCGGTGGGAACAAAGTATATTAGAAGGTGTTACTGGTAGAAGCGTTGTCAAACACTGAATACCTGTATCACCCTCAATATCAAGACAATTAATTTGCATTTCAAGTCAGAATTAAAAAAAAGAGTGTCTTAAAGGTTCACCAAAAAAACGAAAAGATTTCTATTTTATGTAAGGATTTTGAGTTGGTTTTTATGTATGCCGGAAGATCTATTCAAACTGATCTTCTGTGCATTTTGCAGGCTAAAACTTCAAAGTGTTTAAATATCACCGAAAAGTTTCGGGATGCTATCTACATGTAGAGGCTCACCAAATGTTATGAACATGAACCAGAATTCCATACCTTTGATTTGACATGATCGATGCAACTATACACACTTGAGATAAATTATGTATGAAAATTAAATTCAGACCTGGAGGTTATTAATAAATGGAGGGATCAATTAACTTACAACATATGCTGCCTTTCTAAAGGCTGAAATTTGAGGTGTTTTAATGTACCACTCTCTATAGTATTTCATAGTCGATCGCTTTACGAAAATGTCAACAATACTATTATGGTTAGTTTTAATGCCAGATCAAAGTTTAAGAAAATGACGTGCCCTCAAAATCCGTATTTCAATATAATGAAGCACTACCCACTTTCCTCATGGAAAAAACGGGGAAATGTCAACGAAATATGCTTTGTAACGGTAAGGCAAACAGTGACAGATTAATTAATTTCGTTCAGGATCCTACTATCAAATCTAAGGTGTTGCTAATAGATGGTTTAGTCACTGCAGTAAACCATATCACAACTCCAAATAATGAAAAGTGTAATTTAAGCCTTACTGGCGAATATCTATATCTAATTTTCAAGCCAGTAAAGAATAAGAAATTTCTTGTCAGACTTGATTGTAGAACAGAGAGTACAGTTGCCTACCGCGTAACAGTGACAAATGCTGTGAGATTTCCTAGAGTTTCAAACTTGTCGCTTTGTCTTCCCTTGCCATCGCTGACTGCTTCACCAGATTTAGAAGAACCGAAATGGGTCATTTTGCGTTTTGATCTTCGTAAAATCATTAATAAATACTCCAGCTATCATTACCATAGCTTGATTCGCCTACAACTATGCTGTAGTTTGTTAATATATGCAGCATTTACATCTGACAATAAGTATTCCCCATTTGTTGCGAGGAAAAAGAATATGCACAAAAATTCAGTTCTCCCACTTCCAAAAGAGTTTCAACCTGTATTAAATTTACAAAAGTTATATGGGACTTTTGAACTAGTTACCATACCTGAAGATGGGACTGAAGACTTCGAGGGTATGTGGGTCTTTTTATTTATCTGTATCAAAAATATGTTGATAGTGATATTACTTCAAAATATACTGCTCAAATATTTAGTAAGCGACTATTATGAAGAGGACCAATATTCATTGTTGGGCCTTAAAGTGTCTATAAACATTGATTTTTTGAGCTACTGTTAAGCTTTGATTTACTATTATTTTGTGGGATTGATGTACGCATTTAGTCACTCACTTAGTTAAGCTTTGCGGTACGTCTTCCTCTGTCTCAGATATATAATTTTTAAAATCCAAATCATTCTTCAGTAATAGGGATAGTAGGTTGATGAACCTGTGTTAATCCTGACAGATTTCTTTTCAGTGAAGGTCCAGTTCCTCCTTGAAAATATTCGCTGATGGAGCTGATACCACTTATTCGAGTAAGGCGTTCCAATCATTGACTACTCTATGAGAAAAACGGGACCCCACTTTAAGTTTATTAGGTCGCGGTTGAATGCTGAAGATACTAAAGTTTCCTTTTACTTGTTGAATATCGTTCACAATATCTTTATAAATTTTATTGTAATTAAATACTAAATAACATAGAGAGTCGATGGTTCGCGTTCGAACTGTTTGTTCTGTTTATATACTAAACAGTTAGATGACTACTTTAGATGAATGTTTACTAGCTTGATTATCATTAACAGAACACTAGAGCCCTTTCTATACATATCGTTAGGTGACTTTTCATAGTGCACTGGTACACAATTTAAAATATACCCACTTTACTTGCTTGACTGTGGACTCAAAGTGTAGGTTTTTTAAATATTTTGATTACATTATTTTACTTTTTGTGCCACCATAGATACCGGTTTTTAATAGGAATTGTAAGTCAAGTGACTGAAGAGATTGTAGGTCACTTATATGAATAGCGAGTTTTCTGGTGTTGAACGGGAATGATTTGACCATATAGCCCACTTCAAAAACACATTTCGGGTTTAATACTTTGTCTGAATTACTGTGATGTAATATCCACGTGGTACGGTTGTTTTATTGATTCTATAAAACAAGTATAACCTCACTAGAAGAAAAGTTCGTGTTTTTTACGCACATATAGGAACAGTACAGAGCAATGACAGTGCTTCATGGGCCAGTCTGTGATTTCAGCTTCAATTTCGAATGGACAGGAGGCTAGGTGGCATATGTTAGTTCTGGCGGTGGTTGTCTCTCAATTGATCCAAATTTCCTTCAGAAGTGTCGACAGATGGAGGTTCAATCGCGTTCTGAGATGATGTGTTCCATTCGTTGACGATTTGATGGGAAAGCCGATAGTCAGTTGACAAATAATCTGTTCTGGGCTTACGAACCATTTTGGAGTGTCCTCGTAAACTCTCTGTTTCGGAAGACAAGAAAATTGAGGGCATATCAAATGCAAACTTATCACTAAGTAATTTAAAAACTGTGATCTAGTCGCTCCTAGTTCTTCTATATGACAATGGATATAGGTTTAGCTATGTCAGTCAAACATCACGCAGAAGCTTCGGCATTCCAGAAGTCAGCCAAATTGCGATTCTTCGAACTTCATCTAACGGTTCACTGTCTCTTTTAGGTAACGGTTAGACAATTGTATGTGTACTCGAGTTTAAGACGAACGAATACTGTATAAAAATTCAAAATGGTTTCAGCATCGACATGACTAGGAGCCCTACGTATCGACCACAGGGTTCTAAAACCTTTAGGGCCAATGCTTGACAGTGTGGAGTAGTTATTAAGTGTAGGTTAACGATGACTCCAAAGTCATTGTGTGCCATGACAACAGGTAGCTCACTGTAATTCACAGTGTATGTATATGTACATTGGTAAACAAGATGCATCATAATGCACTCGGAGGCATTTATCGGCAAGTGCCGAATTTTAGACCATTCAGATAACTTTATCAGGTCATTTTGAAGTTCCAAACTATCATCTTTACTTTTTATCGCCCTCCATATCTTGACATCGTCAGCATATAACAAACTCAGTGATGTTAGACGACCAGGAAGGCCACTTACACTCAAGAGGAACAACACTGATCCCCAAACTGTACCCTGAGGCAGTCCGTCAAGCCTAGTTTCCCAGCTAGCAACTTTAAGTTCACTCGTACTCTTTATTGACTAGGAAGTCTGTTGTCCACAATAATGAATTGCCCCAAATCCTGACATTGCGTAACTTACATAACGGCATGTTGTAAGGAACTTTGTCGAAAGCTTTGTTGAAGTCAATGTAAGCCCCATATATGGATAAATTTTGGTCTTTAAGAGCGCATCAACTTTCACGGGCTACCAATAAGTTAGTGAGACAGAACTAACCTGTCCTAAAGTTGTGCTACTTTTCAGAAAGAATTCGGTTTTCGTACAGTTGCTTAAACAAATCCTTCCGAATAATCTTTTCTGAAATCAAACACACTGGTTAGGTTTATGGGTCGATAGTTCTCAGGCCTATTTCTTGTACTTGTTTTGAAGATAGGACTTACTATAGCATTCTTCCAGTCTTTTGCTAATCGACTCTGGGTTACAGATAGATTGAAACATCTGCTTAAGGTATTCGCGACAAGATTTGCTAATCCCTTTAGTAACCTCGTATGAAATTCATCGAGTCTAATGGGTCTGCCTACGTCAGGTTCACTTAGCAAGCCCAAGACTTTGAGTTCGTTAATGCTCAGTGTTCGGTGTGTTTTTATCAGTTGTCTGAAATAAAGGTGAGTGCAACTCTACGATATATACGTTACTAAAGTAATTTGAGAATAACTGAGCTTTTCCATAATCGTCCTCCACTAGTGATGCAGTACTATTGTCTTATGGCAACTATCTTACAACCAATTTTATGTCATGCCCTTTTATTAATTTACTTAACAGACAATTTTATTTGAATAATAACAATTCAAACATTTCTTTGTACCGTTACGATCACTAGATCACATGACAGACTATAGATAAAATGTTGATTGCTTAAATATCACTCACTCAAGTTCCCCACTATCTACAGACTGCGTCAGTTAATTTTATGTGAATGTTATTACATCCGACTTGGTAGAGTCTATTCGTACACCTAGTTTAAATCTCTTGTCGAGAAAGCTTTGAGCGTTTGTGTAATAGATCATTAGTTACTTACGCCTGTTACTCCCGATAGAGCATAGGCAGCCGACCAGCATTCTCCAACCTACAGATCCGAAGACCACTTAGATGGCTTCGTGCTGAGTCCAAAGTGGTTTACGAATCATTCTCTGTCAAAGCCTCACCACCCAAAAATCTACACCTTCAAGGTCCTTTTCTCCATCATCTGACCTTATTTCTAGTTATTCTCCAGCTTCTCGCCTTTATACACGGTCCGCGAGTCGCAAGTCCTTATGAACAAAAATTCCTGACATCTTTAGCTTAGTTTGATTGTTCAAAGTCCATTGATCTACCTAGTCTATAAACATTTAGCAAAGTGATTCCAGAGAACTTCTGAGGCATTAGCTGGTTTAATGGCTATTTTCTCAACTCAATGTCATGCTCAAAACGAGTTCTGGGTTCTGAGCTTTCATTCTCTTTGACTCTATGACAGACAAGTGACCTGTCACTATGATCAATCTTCAATTTCCCAGCTACCGTTTGGGGGACTGACATTTCTTTAGCAACATTAGGTCGTTTCTCATTCTTGATCTGTACCCATTCATCAACTTTCATTGGGGTAGCAATCACAGCCACGTTGCAAACACTGTGGAATCCTAGATGATTGACAATGACTTGGGTAGTCGGGTTGTTATTTTTCCTGCTAGGAACAGACCTTGTCTTGAGATTAGGTTTTCTAGGCATTTCATACTCACTACCATTTGGGGGGGGACAAAAGAAATTTCCTTTCTTGAGATTGTATTTCTAACAGACCTCTTTATAAGCCGTCGTTCCTCCGTCGGTCCGTGTAAGTCAATCAACTTTGAGCTTACTTGAGGTAACTTTACATAGATCTGTGTATTGACAGAGTGAGCACCATTTGATGGGTCTAAATTACGCTTGCTAATACACCTTTTTCAGTATTCACCATTTCAATTGCTTCAGATAGCAATGTATTTGCGTCTGAGGAAAATTACTGACACAAGCACACGGAAGTATTTTTGTTAAACCATTTGAAAACCGCAGGCGTTTAATTCGTGAAAACTCGGTTGTACCATTCTTTGCACTCATGGCACTGCATGCCATTTTTCACAGGGTATCGACAGCATGGTATTTGGTAATCGATTTCTTACGCTGTCCAGTCACCAGTCAGAGGTTTTAGAAGAGAAAGTAAACACAAACATTACCCAAAGATAAGAAACTAGTGACCAGAAAAAAGTGAAAATCTGTAAATTGTTAGTCACAAAAGTTCAGATAAACCAACTTACTCAAAAGTAAAGATGATAAATTACTCTCGTAAAAAACGATACTGTTGGGGATTATATGAACTGTGTTAGCAGAATATAGATTGGATTGAAGCATGCTTCTTGCAGAATTGTGTTGGTGGACGTCGACTGGTTACTTCTTAACCAATCAGCGCTAGTGAATACTTGAAGAAGACTCCAGAACCTTGTGTAGAAACTATACATATAATGACGTTTTTCTCATTGTAATTTCTACTTCCATCTACCCTTGTTATTTGGAATATAGTTTCTTTCCTATTTAACTGTGTTCTGATTTGGGTACTTGTCGAGCGAGTTAGTGTCCAAGAATACTAAGAAATAGGAGTAGCTGGGTCGTAAAAAGAGAAATTATAACAAAGTGAAGCAAAAACAGTAATCTTGATATACTGTAAACTATCAAAACAATAAAATTAACTCAGCGAGGAAAAATATCACTGTGCTTTTTAGATGGCGCGCATGCAATTAGTTAGTCCATATTTGTTATCCTTGAAATTAAGGATTTTCGGTAAACTGTTCAACATTTATTGGTCTCCCATTTGACGTAGAAACGGTTTAGTTTGATGATTTACTTGACCAGTGTTCGGGGACATCTTTGTAGTAGTCTTCAGCTTTTCTTCATGGTAATGCCAAGTAAATAAAACAGTGCCTTTGAAAATGCTTACTCAACGTAGTCTGAATTTGATGATGGAGCTTTGGTAGCGTGACGTTTATCGTGTTTTCTCTTCGACCCACACTAAAGATGAGTTAGTCTCATACTTTTTATTAAAAGAATGGGCACATATACACACTTCAAAAGTTTCTCAGTAGTCTTTCATCTTGCGGTTTTAAATTAGTTGTCTCGAAAGATGTGAATTAAGCTTCGCATTTGAAGGCAGAATTACTCAAACTAGTAAGTAGAATGTTCTGTTTCAATGAAAGGACTTTCTACTCTCATATTTTCGGATCGAAAACGACAACAGACAACAACAAGTAACAGTACAAGCAGAAGAATTCAATCATTTTCTTCAGTAAGAGACATCAAGTATGTTGAAGGTATTTAGATTTGATGAAGAATTATGGAACTCAGTACAAGTTATTTATCTTAATCTTTAAAATATCTTCACACTTTAAATACCCCTCAATTTTGTCAATGTATTTTACTAAGCGAAAAATACTGGAAATACGAAAACGACTGAAAATATAAATTTATTATCAAGTGCTGAAAACAAGAATTGTGGGCAATCACCACATTTAACAGGGCCAAATACGTTGGAAGATGTACATAAACATAAGAAAAATATTGTTAGGGATGATTATGAGGTAAGAAAGTTCAAAAGTTTACAATATTATTTTCAACTTTCATTTTATTTTTAATTCTTCATTTAGTCATAACTAAGCGAAATCATTATTAGTATCAATCTTATAAAGTTATCATCATGTCTGTTGTTTTCCTTAATACTAGCTATTTGTAATTGTTTGACTTCAACGATCTCAGAATAAAAAGTAGAAGGTAACTCGCAACTTTAAAGCCATACCTTTCCATTTCTAACCATTCTGAGTACGTGAACATTCTCATCTACTTTTTTCAACGTTTGAGAGCTTGGTAAATTATATAGATTTTTGAAAAAACTAACTGCATATTAATTTACATGGGGTTGATAATCAACGTTGTCGATATTTCTCTATGTGACTTCGAGTTATATATACTTATGCTATTACGGAAAACGTTTGCAATCAAGTTTCTAGTAATAAATACAGAGTTTGATAAGCATGAGTAATAAAGTAAGGTTTTATGGACGCATGATTATTTCATTGGTCTGGTTAATAAGAAATTCTCATTCGTCTCAACTAGGAGCTCTTCCGTATATTAAATTGATTAAACTTACACTTTAACGCATTGACATTCACTAAATGGGTTTAATATTTAACAAAGTGAAGTTAATCAATGTACTTGTTTATTATCTTTTTCCAAAAATGATCACATAATTGTAGATGTCAAGTACGGATGAACTAAATCACGAAATGAGTGTTTTACAGGCAGACGATGTTCACGTGCTATGTACAAATATATCTAACCGAACCATTGAGAATAATGCTAACGACATGTCTTTCGACTTGGTTTATGCCGCTTCATGTCCTTCATATTGTACAAGTTTAATCATCACTCAAAATGGTTGTGTAATTATTTTTCCTTGTGCAGCATATCTTATTGTAATGGAGGTTGGTAGTAGGCGTCAATGCTTCCTAGAAGGTAAGTTTCTATAAAGTATTAGTTTCTCATAACATTCAATTTTTTAGTGTTAGTTCACAAGCTTATTAGAAATCCAAACTGTGCATGAGTTATTTATTAGTCAAAACATTTTGTTATTGATAGACCTGTTTGTGGTTTGTTTTAAAAAAATATTTTTCATGGTTCACAACTCAGCTTTATGATGTATGAGGTCACCAAAACTTCATTAATTCACTTTTCATTGAATTAGGTCACACTGCTGAAGTAAGTGGCATTTGCCAAGATCCAGGTGGTCAAATTATTGCTTCTTGTCAATCTTCAACATTGAGTTCTATTAACTTATGCCTTGGTGTTGTTCATGTCTGGCGTATGCCTAACTTACTTCATTCTTCACTGCACATTCAAAAGCCACTGGGAACAGGAAGGGTCCAAAATGCTCAGTCTATGAAAGGTTTATGTATTTCAGATCGAGGTGAATTTTTAATTGCTTATGGGATGGATGTTCGCTCACGTGGTATGATAGTTGTGTGGGATTTACGGGTAAGTTAATTAATAAGTAATTTTGTTATAGAATTTAACTGAAACAGTGGTCAGTTGTTTAGCTTAAACTTCAATAACGCTATAAATGATGTTTTGTTATGGATTTTCAAGTAATTCTGACTTATTAGTCTAGATTAGTTTAAAGAATCGAATAACGATAATGAATAGTCTTTGATTATACTAATCTAAATATCAATATACTAAGTGTACAAATCTTTCAACTGTCGTTCAAACCAAATCATGAGGAATTAGCATCTCCACATAAGATTTGAGCTTTTTGTTTGATGTCTACTTTCTAGGTTCGTTATTTCGAAATTCAATGAACCATTTAAATCTCATATATGCTATGTAAATATCAGTAAAATGTTACTCTAATTGACTTGCATTTTTACCCCAAAGATCATTCAAATTGATCCAACAGATTGTAGTAAACTATGTATACTTTTAGATGTTCAGCAAAATTAAAAACAACCAGTGATAGGGTTCACATCCTATATGCGTTTAAACTAAATTTACTCTCACATTGTGAATGTATGTATTTTAGAAGAATACATAACTTCAGCCAGATTTGTATCTCAAGGCCTTTTGAAATAAAGACAGATCAACCGTTTTGAGGTTTGTTAAGGTGCAACACTATTATAAGGAGTCTTTTTAAATTCTGACTAGAGGTTGATAAATTAGGGTTGGGGAGAAGATTTTATGGACTAAATGGAAGTCAGTACAATGTAGAGTAATTAGTCTTTAAGCAGTTATTATGAATCATTAGTCATAATGATTGTAAGAGGTAAATCAGAATTATTAAGACTACCTAGAAAAAAAATTATTTTTTAGGGTTATATCTGTCATGTGAATTCCTTTCTAATGCTTCTTTCACTTTTCACTATAACTTAAATTCTTTTGAACCCACACAGTTACAACTAGATCAGTTTACTAGATACATGGAATGTCATTTTCACATAATGATAATTATGTGATAATTAAATACAGTAATTAAACCTTTTGTAAATATTATTTGCGTTTGCTTAAACTTTATTCAATTTGTATTTTTTAATTTCCTGTTTAGAATCTTCTTCATAGTAGTGTATTACCATTATTAATCCGTTCAACGGTTGACAATACAATTAGTTGTTTTTGCCTTCTACCAGATTACTATAAACAAAATGATGTTCCCGACTCTTTTATACGATTTGCTACTGTATCTGGACTTAATACTTCACATAATACAATGGACTGGAATATAGCAGATAGATATCAGGGTATAAAAAAGAATACATTTAGTGAAATACGATTATGGCGGTTTAAATATGCATCATTAAGACAGGATATCGTTCAAAAATGTGGCATCTCATTCAATGGTACTTTAAAAAACAAGTACCATTTATCTTCTTCAGTTGTTTCATTAGCTTCACTTACTGTTCCAGCATTACGTCAATCACTAAATTTTGTGAGTTGTTGCATTAAACCTCAATTTCAAGATTTGAATCAGTCTTGTAATAAGTTGAATTATTCACTACTAGTTGGCTCTTCTACAGGACATATTTTGGAGGTAATTATCAATTTATCAATATTTTTATTTATTTTTGATTATAGTTGTTTTTAGTTAGACTAACTGTTGCCAATTTCGATAAACACTAAACTAATATAATCTTTCGTAAACGGGAGGCTGAAATTATCGGTTATATCTCAACACAAAACTAGTGATCGTGTTACTTCACTGATATAAATACCCTATTTACTGTGTAAAAATTGCATCATTCAACTTTATTATTATTAGGTAACAATTATCTTATTGTACAGTTTCCTCAGCGTTTCGTGAGTTGATTCGAAGTTAAGACCCCATTTTATTAGCTAGAGTATTATTATTATTATTATTATTATTATTATTATTATTATTATTATTATTATTATTATTATTATTATTATTAATAGCTTTATTCAATATTATATTTTGGTACAATATAGAATTCTCAGCACATGGTATTTCAACAAGTTACTTACGCAACAACACAAAACATAGTAACAAATACAAAAAAAGAAAAAAGGTTTTTCTAAAAAAACTCGAAAAACTGTACAACTTTTAAAATTGAAGACATGTTAAGAATGCAGGTTATTGACTAGGTTAATTCTAACAAACTGTTTGTCACAGAGTATATTTGCTAGGTAAGGTATTATAGAACTTTTTTACTTTTGCTTGCTTGCATGGATTTTAATGTAATTACGTCTCGTTCTACCAGAAGATATACAAGGAGAAAGACAAGAGTGAAGGGGATGGCTAGTATCTGATAAAATAATACCTGCCAGGAGTTTGCATGACTTTAGATGTCTATCCACAACCATATTAATTATGACCTCGAAAGATTCACCACACATCTTGCTAACTGCCTCCAGCACTCTCTGCAATACAGCAAAGTCTTTTCTCAAAAGCCTGGGAAAGAATAATGGAGAACAGTAAAGAATAATAGGTAATATGCAAGAATTGACAAATTGTAAGAGTAAATGACGAGTAATCCCAAGAGCATGCAATCTCTTTATGTAGTAGGTCAGACGGAAAACCTTCTTCGATAACGATAAAACGTGGGAAGACCAAGACAGATCAGAGGAAAAGGTGACACCAAAATAATTGACCTTCGACACTGTGTTTATCAAAGATTCTCCGATGGTACAAGCATTATGGGATCTCCAAATGGTGTTTAGATTCCGTTCATGTCTCATGCTAACGTTAACAGCTTGACATTTAGACGGATTAAGTATAAGACCATTACCAACAGATCAACAATCAATACGAGACAAAAACTCATTCATTTCTATGGGATGTAAAGAGGAAGAGATAGGCATACATACAGTGAGGTCATCCGCATGTTTCACAAAAGTGTTTTCTGTGGAAGATGGCAGATCATGCAGAAAAGAAAGAGAAAAGAAGAGGTGAAGGAACAGCTCGTTGTGGTATACCTTCATGAGACAGTAGAGATTCTGAACAATTTCCTCCAAACACAGTGTACTGTTCCCTTCCAGAGAGGTAGGAACATAACCAGTTGGTTATTTATTAAACCACTTCTGTTTCTGTTTTTCCTTGCATAAAACTGTTCGTTTATTGTTAATTCTTAAAGAGAGCAAAATCGAAAATTGGTGTAGAATAATATGAATTCATTTTATTTCGTAAGGTTCTCATCAGATGCATACACCCTATAATATTTGAAACTAAAATTGTCACTAATATTCACTTATAAATACGAGGGTGGTTAGAGATGTATTTGGGTATCATGATTTAGCGAATATCCCAATAGAGTTAATAAGGTCATAAAAGTATTTTGTGTTTCGGATGAATAGATAAAGTTTGAGAGGGAAAGTTCTAGAACATTGAAATAGTGATTAGAATTCATGTAATGCAGTAACTGAAAATGGGTTGATGGTAATAAAGAGAGATATGAATTGAAATTAGTCAGTTATGAATTGAAGAAAAATGACAATGATGTAATCAAACTTCAGAAGGAGTAGAAATGGTGAATGATGCAATAAAAATGATGTAATGTTACCAGAGAAAAGATTTATTACCGTTTTTTGGGCACATAGATCTGTTTTTAGAAGTTTGATCGCTATCGCTTCGGCGAATTTCAGATCTCAGTTTGATTGTTTATTAATCACCTTGAAAGACTTCAGTGTAACCACTTGATGTCCTGTATCAGAGATGGTACTACTGAATACTTTCAATCCACGTTATCTTCGACTTTTAATGACATGTTCCTTGAATTGGACGTAGGCTCTCCTTTCTTTTCTATCAATTTAACTGCTTTGGCAAATACATGTGAACTTATATACACAGTTGATGGTGGCACACATAAAAGGGTTATCGACCTTTGATTGCGTTAAAAAACATGTTGTTTTGGACAAGGCAATCAGTCTAGCTACAGGACAAGTCCTTGTTAATGCAGTTTTAGTCTCATATTGATTGACCCTGTCACATCATCATCTTTGAATATAAGTTGAATAAAAATAGGTTTTTTGTTTATTGCAGTTTCTTTGGGTTTTTGATCTTCACGTTTCGCATATTTCTCACTAAATTTCAGTAAGTATCTGTTGCTCGTAAAACACCTTTTAACATTCATTAGTTCATCTTCTAGTGTGTCGACAGCACATATTCTTTCTGTTCTGTGAAATAGTGTTTTAACACGTGCCTTTTTGTTAGTGATTGGACAGAAGCTATTGAAATTGAGATAAATTCCATTCCGTATGTCTTTACTATAAGCTGAAAGCTGGACCGTGCCATTCTTCCCTCGTTTTATTTCGATATCGAGAAAATGGGACTTGTTTTTATTTTCACGTTCCATAGTAAACTAGATATTTTTATGAGCTTCGTTGAAACGCTTCATCAGATTTATTGCATGTTGTTGATTACTACATACGATGGTGTCATCGACATACCTTGAATAAAACACCATTTCACCAATCGCTCCTTTGACCTTGGTTTTTTCAAGATTAGCCATGAGAAATAACAGACTTCCCATTGCTACACCAACAGAATCAACACAGAAACTCAGTTTGAGAATTTATTTGATCAAATGAAAGGAATGCACCAAATTAATGGAGAGAAGAAAGACTGGCTTAAACCAAAATTAGTTGATATCATGAACCAATACCTTGCTTCACACACACAACAGTCTATGGTAATAAACAGCAAAACCAACAATTTGTTTATAAATAGAGAAAGTTAATATTGAATTAATGATTTTATGTCATTCTAAAAGTTGGTAATATCATAAGTCTTTTGTAACTATTGCAGTTAATGAACTCCCAATCCTTCTTTTAGGTCGATTTAAATCTTTTTTGTATTTCGAATATGTATCAATTAACTGAAAAATCACAAGAAGAAAAATCAACAGAGCATTCAAGCACAATCGAATTGCAACTTTCAGCTTTTAGAGAATTTAGAAACAATCAGTGGATTTTAAATTTTCCAGATAATCTAAATCATTTGAAATCTAACCTCGTTTCAATATCCTCTATGCATTGGATAACTCCTGGAATTAATTTTTCTTTGGGCTGGTTAGCCGCGTGCACAAGTGATGGTCGTCTGTTTTTATGGGAATCTAGTAATTCACCATGTTCAGTTGCTCTTTCAGTAAAATATCCTTCGACAATTACTGCTCTCGATTCGTCTTTTAGTAAACAAGGTACTTTAACTAGAAATACACAACATCAAGTTTATATTTCTGTAGCAACATGTTCTGGCGGTCTTGCTTGCCTCGATCTTAATTTCGAATTCGATTTACATAAAACTTCTATGGAAAATAACGAGACAGATATTATAAATGAGTTTAAACTATTAAACTGTTCTCCTAGACGGATTCTTTCATGGCAGGCTTCCGGCCCAATCATAGCCACAGATCTCGTTCATATAGATAAATTAGAATCGCAGTGTATATTGGCTACCTTAAGTATTGATGGGTACGTTTTTTCCAGATTAAAAAATTTATTTATTTCACCATACTGTATAATATTTAAAAATATTTTAGGAATATTGTAGCTATAACAAGAAATCTCATGAAAATAACTTCAAACCAAAGTAATGTTTGTGATACAATCAACTTACAACATGTATGTCAAATCTTATATAACAGATCAAACGTCTAGGCTAGTTTTGCTCCGAGTTCCTTTAGAAAACAGTTTATTGTGAAAAAATTGCGTATAAATACGCTTAGAGTTGAAGTAAATCACACCTATAACAGCTGTTAGATAGTTCTTAACACCTAATTAGGTTGAAATGCCTATTTTCTCCACTTATATTGCCTTAATCTGTTGGGGAAGGATACATAGGAAGACGATATTTTCAATATTTTTGTGAATACCTGTTTGGAGAAGTAAGTAATTAAAAACAATATTATCAACTTACCTCAAAATAAAAGAATGTTTTTTAATTTATAATTGTGAAAATCTGGGTTTCCCGCTAGTTCTATGTCTGACGAAGCTTATTGGATGACTAGATGTACTTTTTAACATTAATGTACCCAGGATATTTAGGACCAATACAGAGGATTGTTTAAAATATTGCCCTTTTCGTGTATAGCATTGGCTTTGAATGTGTCATTTCGTTCTATTTGTAATTTTTTAACTATTATCGTAATGAATAAGAGCTCAGGCAGGGGCAATCAATTTATTGTTTAATACACAATTACACAATATCTTCGTAAAATATGAGAACAGTACATTAAATACTTCATTTGCAAATTTTCCATCAATTGTCCTTCACGTTTTGTATGATTTTTCCAACTCATAATTCCTTTCTATTTCCCCTTCTCTTTTCCTCAACTCGATCTTCTTAGCCCTCTGTTGGCAGGTTTTCCACTTCCGATTGTTGTTAAATACTATTTATATCTGTCGACATGTGTAGTATACATCACATTATAACTATATACCAGTGATTGATAATCCTTTCACAGTGATTTTCAATTAATATTTATCATTCCAATGATTAGTTTATTAAGATAATGATTAATTACTAGAAGGAGTATAATTTGTAGTTTGTTTTTCATATTTTCCATTTGTTGATCCACATCAAACTTAAATAAATAATATTTCTTGACAAAATGAACTTATGTGTCAATATATGAACTTGTATCTGAATGAACTATAACTGGTTGCATTTGGTTTAGTTAATTGATGATGAAAAAATCAGTTATTCATAAACAACATGGAATTAGTAACTTTATTTCTGGTAGTACAAAAAATTAGGTGGTGTGATTCGAGAAGTGTTGGGATATTCAGAAAAATATCCTAAAAATTATTCTGTTAAGTCTAACGCTATCCTTTGGACTTGAGATGGTGTCATTTTCTCATTGGTCAACATTTGTTTCACGTGTCATTTTCCTACTGGTCAATATCGTACAATGTTATTTTCTATTTTATGGTACGATGTGGTCTGCTTGACTGGTATATAAACAAAGTGTGTTTAAAATATAACGATTCATATCTCCGAGGCTGAGACTTGCATTCTGGACTCAACTGGCTGGGCCAGACAGGGAAGCGGGACCAATCAGAACCCCAGGCCGTTCTTACGTGTTTGCGCGTCTTTGGTCCGACCGATAATTCGCTGTCCTCTAATCTGCCGTCACAGTTATAGCAAGAAGAAACAATAAAAAAGGTAGTTATAGATTTTACAATCTAAGAAATGATAAAAAGTCAATAAGTCTGAGCCATCTGTATCTACGATCAATTTTGATCCATGTCACCCAGTCTTCAAAGATTGGTCAAGATCATCATGAGGATCTCAACCAGGTGGTCTGCACTTGCTAACATGCCTCAGTTCAACAGGCAGTATCTTCGTGTATTAATGCTATTTTTTGATTTGGTCGTTCGTAGATTTCTTTCAACCTATCAAAATGATGAAAAATGTTTAACTGTAATATGGAATTTTCAAATTCTTTTAAATATCATTTTAATTATTTTAAGTTATAAGAATATATGATAAATCCTGACCGATTGAATGTTTAAAATATGTTCTTGGTTTATTGAAAATGATAATCTTATGGAAATAATCAGTTTGAGTAAGGACAAATTGTTGATGAGCACATTATTTGGTTTATTTTTTTTAAAATAATGAAGCGGACTTAGAATTCGACATATTTCATCTCGTCCAACCTTTACCAATCAATTTGAAGATGTCAAAATGAAAAGAATAAATATTCATGAAAACTACACAAACAAAGAACTTGTAGAAAACCCATTAATCGACTTAATTATTTCGGATGGGACGCCAGTTTGTATTGCTATTCAACCGAAATTGAATTGGTCAGAATTAAACTTGGAAGATTTGGATATATCTTGGATTCAAATTGCATGTGGTTATTCTAAAACTGGTCTAGTACGTATCTTCTCTCCAGCCAATGCAAAAATGTTATATGAACTAAATTTCCATAAAGATTGTGATGTAACAGGTATTGGATTTATACAGTGCAACAGAGTAGCCATTGATGCTATAAATATTCCCTTTTTAATTTAAACTATTCATAATTGACAGGTGCTCAGTTGATGACTAGTACGATATAGAGTTTCTTCAGTACTTTAGTCAAGTATTTTATGGACAAGTCAATTTAGAGGTTGGGAAAAATCTATATGTGCCTGTTTACTATCAGAATTATTAGGTTGTCTCCAATTTGTACATATTTTGTCTCGTCAGATAGTCAGACTAATAAACCAACTATTCGTGCGAAAGTTAACAGACCTCACATTCCTCAAAGTGATCACAATATTCTAATATTAATTAACAAAAATGCTGCATTATGTATATCAATTATTGAAATATGATTATGGTAGTGGTTAGCGTATTGTATCTCTATATTAAGAGAGCTAAATCCGTTATTTACCTTTGAGATTATTTTTGATGAGAATTGACTAAGCTAGTAAGGTAAGGAATTGCAAACCTTCTGTCCTAAAATATTAATTGCATTAAAAAGAACAACTTCTAAGTGAGATGAACAAATAATGTTATCCATTTTCCCCAGGATAAAGTGCCTAGCTGAATCGTTTTGTATAAATGCTTTTAGCTTCATTAGTATTGTCGATCTTTCACTGGATCACATAGACTAATTTAAGATTCGTATTGCAACATTGATGTGATATACTTATACGGAAAATTATGAAGAACTCACAGTATACCTGAGGAAATAAACTTGTGTATTCTAATTGATGAAAAAATTATTGTGTATTCTTTAGCGATTCCATTCAGTGATGATGACGATTATGTTGAGTACACATAGTCTAATATGCAATTTGGATAATATTTTCTGACTACTTATAAGTAACTACATGTGTAAAGAGACCATTACATTTTGTCCATAGTGTAGCACACTTCATTAGATTTTCATTTACAGATCATATGTTTAAACTCGCCATTTTCAATCAGTGCGCTCACTGAAGATTTATTTTTCGAGAGTTATGAAACATTTTGATCTCGTTTGGACTGTGGTCTTCAAAGAATTCTTGTCTCAGTATTTGTCTGATAATGTAAATATTGGGATTTTAACATAAGTAAAAGAAAGAGGTGGTGTTTAATCATAGTTCTGGAATTTGATAACTGTTAAAATCAACTTGATGGCGTCCCAATTCTTCTCCCTTATATATATATAGTTTCTTAACAGTTATACAATATGAATATATGTATAAAATTAGTTCATTCATTCATTCTCGTCCGGATATAACAGATATAGTAGTACATTGTAGTGAAATGAAATTAGACTACTTCATACAATGTCCAAAAATTTCAGATATCCAAAGATTGTTGGTTATGTAATGGTTGAAAAGTCGATGAAAAATAGCAAGATGAAAAACTATTTACTAAATAATTGTTCCCTTGACAATTATGAATGATTTATTTTTGTATAAATCATGTTTTTTATTAACATATATTTTTGTTCTTCATTCCCAAAAATAAAAATTATAGCTCTACTTTATTCACCATGTGGTAGCTATTTGTACACTTCAGATAGTTCTGGTCAACTAGCAGTTTGGAAAATTACACATGATGATAAACAGAGATTATATGAAAGTCAATTAATTCATTCATTAAATTATCAAATTGGTATATTTAATATAACTAAACCTATGTTAACAATGATGAAACAAGATAATCATTTAATGTTGTCAGAAATTAGGAAAAGTATTATTACTGTATCGTCTAAAGGATTACATATTGCTTATATGGGACCTCGTTTAGATATGCTTACTATTGCCAAAGGAGTTAGTGCTTTAACTGTAAAACAAATTGATTTAAGCCATTTGATATTACAAGTGAGTTTTCACTATTTGATTCAATTTATCATCAAACCAATCTCAGCGTTATTGCCATTTGAAGTAAAAATTTGTTTAAATTATATACGAAGAGGATGGTCAGTGATTTAAAGACATTTCCCAACTTTTGTTTTAATCGAATCACTTCGAAGTAAAAAAAGTTGCTCCTAAAGAAACATGTAACAATCTGTCACATTTATTTGAAATCGGTCACTTGGTTTCAATTAGACTTTAGAATTATTTTTTTATTTTTGAAAGTCATGATTGTACTAAACTACTGGAATATTTCTTGGTAAAATATAAAACGATTAATTTGAAAGCTTATTCGTTTGTTTCATTTGTAATCAGAGGACATTTCTTGACTAAAATGTATGAACCTCCGTGTTACGGAAATATATTTTATTTGTTTAATATCTATATAATACATAAGCAAACAAATTAAATAGAAGCATTACTAAAATGTTTACAGGGAAATCTTTCGCTGCAAAAGTACGGATACTTATTTATACTTTCACGTATTTAATCATGACTGTCTTTCAATCAAATGCTGATCTGTTACAGAACAATCAATTAAAAGATATTACAATTCATTAAAAAATTCTAAGAAACAAATGTAAGGCAGTAGATGGTATAGCTCTATTCACGGTGTTTGTCTGTTCCTCAATTAGCATACTAAGTCATCGTTTTCTGTGATTTGTAATTCTAGTTAAAGCAAGAATTATTAGGAAAAATCATTATTTTTCTCTCGTTCAATTAATTATCATTCTTCCAAAGATGTATTTGTAAAATAGTATATACTTTGACTCCTATTGATCTTCTCTTTGTATGCTATTTCGAAATAGAATCCATATATACTACACGAAATATACCCATTGAGACATAAAATAAGAAAGATTATTCAGTGAAAAGTTTTATTTTCGATGAATTCATTTGCAAAGCTGTACATGTGCAAACATATACTTATTTTTCAAAATGATAATAATCACAATAATAGTGATTATAAAATTTTATTAAACATGGTAACAATGAGGTAGAATAAACAAAGGTATTATTTTATGGATACTAAAAATACATTTACGTGAAGTTCCGTTTGTGTCTGAAATGTATTGTCCCTTTGAGTTAATTGACAGCTTTAGATTTTAATGTTTAAATTAGTACATTCTTCATATTTTTATTCAACATGAAAACATATCTGTTACTACTGATTTTCTTTAAAAAGATTGTAATTTCAATTTTTTTTCTAGCATTTTCCAAATAATCAAACAAAATCAACATTGAATCAAGATAATAACTCAATCAATTCATTAAATTTTATTCAGTTTTACTCTGAATGTCATAAAACTAAAAATCTTAATCATAACAATGATACTGGTTATGATGATGACGAGTTTTTGTTTATCTGTACATCTCAAGGTTATCTGTTTAAATTCAGCTTATTCGATAGCAAACTGATCAGTTGTGCAGAATTTAATATAGTGTCAAATTCTAAGACAACAGTTTATGTTAATGCTGTTAAAATTACTCCTAATGGGCAAACTTTATTATTGGCTGAATCATCTACTCCATTTATATACATAAGTTCAACTAATCTCTATCCATTATATGAAAATATCAGTAAAAGTATTGATAAAAATGATAAAACATTAAATCGAAGTATAATTTATCGAAAATTCACTGGTCATATTTATCCAATTGACAATTTCTACATAACTTTAAATGGACAATATTGTATTAGTATTGACAAAGGTTACTGGTGTCAATATCCTCATTTTGTACAAACTAACACGAAACCTGAAATATATAATACCACTATTACAAAGGAAATGAAAGCAAGTAGTATATTTATGTGGAAATTTGATTCTACACAAAGATCACATGAATTAAAAGTGAAAAATAATTCTAATAATAATGTAAACATGTTGAAAGATAAATTACAAACAACAGAAAATTCAACTTTCACTCAACCATTTTTGTCATATAAATATGAGAATAAATCGTTCACACCAATTAATCAATGTAATACAATGGAAACAAATATTAATAATAATAATAATAACACTTTCGGTAAAGTTGTCAATAAAAACTGTGAAATAAATAAACAAGTGAATGTACAATGTAACTATTGTCCATTAGCTCATCGACATTGGACTGTTTATGCTAACAGTAAATTAAATACTGCGAAAGGATTCAAGCCAAATTTATTAGATCAATTGAAACTTACTTTAATCAATGATAATTGTATGAAAGGAATAGTAGTTGGGTTTGGTTGTTTCAATCATATGATTGATAATTTGATATGGGACTCCGATACTGGTATATTTATTTACACTTATGAATCTTTGCTTGTAATTGAAGAATTAGAAACTGGTCTACAATTAGCATTTCGGTCTATAGTATTAGGTAGTTTAGACTGTACAACAAATTTCGCTGGAGAAATTTTTAATTCACTTGCCTTAGCTCCAAATAAATCAGTGTTGGTTATTGGTTCAACAACTTATTGGGATTTTAATGAAGATAACTCCAGTTGTACAAGTATTTCTTCATTTATAACTGTACCAATCAAATTCACTCTTTATAATGGCTATCGTCAATTAAGCCATTTATCATCAGCATTTCCAACATTGAAGTATGATCAGAGTAAAAGGTTTTTATTGTCTACCAATAATAGTTCCATTGGGAAGGCAATCGATTCAGATTCTGTGATAGAAGTCCATTCAGATGTTTATGGCATTTTATTGACTATGACATTTACAATGGATTCCAGATATCTTATTACAATTGAAGATTATCACACAAATGAAGTTAAATTGTGGTCAGTGCTCAATTGGACCTTATTATCAACAGTTAATATTGATGGATATTTTAATCAGATATTATGCTCTCCATTGTTTGGTAATGAGTTTATTACAATTGGTGCTCAGCTAAATCAGATTGATAATGATAATGTCAAGTTATTAAATCATGAAAGTTCTATTCTGTTTTGGAAATTCGATGTTAACAACTCCACTCATATGAATGATGAAACTGTTAACATTAACAATGCAAACAGTAAAGATTTAGTGAATGCAAGAGATATACTTTCATATACTAAAGGAAAAAATTGGTCATTCAATCAAAATAAATTTATGTACAATACAGAGTTTTGTTCTGCAGCATATTTAAAAATTCCATCTAAATACAATTACTATACTACCATACATAAGATGACCTTACTAATTCTTGTATCAGACAACTTTGGAAACATCAGCATATGGGATGTGAATAATCATATGTGCTTGCACAATTTCTCTGCAGAATGTAGTGAAGTTAGTTAAGAGTTTATTGGTTCATTGTCTTATTTCATAATGTAATAAAAACAACATATTTTTAATATCCCAATGAGTAGGAAATTAAATCTTCATGGTGTGAATCACAAATAATACCAAGCTAGATCACCATAAACATAACCCTGAAAGCATTGGACGGTCGTTTAATCCTAGTATGGGACTCCTCAGAAGTGCACACTGAAAAACCTGCATCCGCGAGTCGATCCTAAGACCTTCGACCTTGGACCAAATATTGTTAATGTTTAACTTTGATTAATTCAAGATATTGTGCGACCTTGATTTCTTGCCTGATAATGATACTTATCATCTATTATTAGCGTCTTTCATTATTACAAGCAACTTAAAAATAAAATTGTTTACGTTTGAATTGTTTGATTACACCAATAATGACGTTTCACAGACCCAATAAAATTGTCACTCTTCATTTGGATTACACTAGTTTAGTTGATTCAAATTATTTCAAGTACTATGTTATCAGACAATACTTTAAAAAAAGTTCAGTCAGCTTTTTAAAGTGCTTATTTTCGTCAACACAATAGTTTTTATAGATATATGCATATACGCTGATCTTTTATCAAATTTCAGCGTCTGTATTGGAATTTTTTATAATTCCTCTATCTTGAAATCTCTAGCATCTCACTATATTTTGAAAGGAACTGTCATCACTCTGTTACAAACGGTATATATGTTTATTGGCAGTTTTTAAATAGAGTTCTGCACCCAGAGGACAAAAAGAAAATGTCATTTGTTCTCCAATAATAGCTTATGTTCACAATAACTTCATCCACTAATCTATTTTTTGAACCAACTACGCTATCGATTTAGAAAAATTGTCGCCGTTTTATCATTTTTTGTGTGTTGGAAATCTTTACTTTCTATCAATCTTAAGAACCTACTCTACTATTTTGTAATGGTAATTATCAAGTCTTCCTTTTAATCATGCCTATTTTCTCTATAAAACTTCAACGCATTTATATATATATTTCAACTAGTGAAATTTCTAAAAATCTCCACAAAACCCCTCCTGATAATAATCATCTGCTCACTAGTGACTGACTTCAAGAGTTACTCCTGTAGTTCTAGTCAGAAGCCGTTACCAGTGGAGTTCAACCAGGTCTGTTGTGAGATATCAACTCACTGAAGACAATGGTGGACAGTGGCGCAACTTCGTGGATTGGTTGGAGTTAGACATTAACACCGGTGGATGCCAGCTCAGTGTTCTAGTTGATTAAGCGCCTGGCGCAAGACTGGTAGGTCCTGAGTTCGAGTCTCGCGGGGTGCGGGATCGTAGATGCGCACTGATGAGGGGTCCCATGTTAGGATGAAACGGCCGTTTGATGCTTCCAGGTTTTCCATGGTAGTCTAGCTTCAACTGACTCATGATTTCAACTAGTGATATATATATATATATATATATATGTATATATATATATATATATATATATATATATATATATATATATATATATATAGAGAGAGAGAGAGAGAGAGAGAGAGAGAGAGTTTGGATTTTCTGTTTTGTTGATTTTTTGAAAGCGTAACTTATTACAATCTAATCGTTGTAACGATTACAACCTTCACGGTTATTTTGTTTTATTTTTATTCTCCCAGATTAGTGTCATCTCCTCCAGTGGTTCATATGGTTTTGTTACAGGTAGTGTAAGCGGTTCACTACGCTTTTGGCGATTAGAAATAGAATTTTCCATTAATGAAAAACTTTCAAACAATCAAGATTATTCATTCCACAACAATAGTGATGTTAGTCGTAACGGGATTAAAAATATTGAAGTAAAACAGATTAAATATATTAACCATTTTGATAATGAAGTAATTTTATCAGCATGCTTTGATGTAGAAGGACAGATTGGTGTTATTAGTACAAGTAACTGTAATCTATGGTATGTAAATATACATATTTCTACAATTATATACCTTACCTATACAAAATTCGAAAGTGGAAACTATCATTCAGTGATAGTTCAGTCTATTAGTGATCTTTTAACTTAAAATCGGTAATTGTTAATTTCCCATAAAATATAATTTTTTCATCGTAATCATTATCATGTATTATGATGTTAATACATTACCATCGGTTTACCTCTGTATTTTTTTATAACTTGTTGGCTATTGATTTTATTAGCTTCATTACAGTCATAATCAAACTTTTATCTATTCAGTTTGAATTGCCTATGGATACAAATGATTAACAAAACATTTAAGATGTTTTTGATATAGATAGTTCAAGACTATTTGTTATCACAGGTCGACAACCCTACTAATGATCAAACCCGGTACCTTTAGGTTTTGCTACGAACGCTTAACCTTCAAATCACTGACATGATACATTATTTCTCATGCCTCTAACTTCGGTATGATTTCTGATACTAGGACGAAATAGTTCATTACTTCTTGGTTTTCATTAATTGTGTAAATATGGTTAATTCGTGTCGGAAAATCACAAATATTGACAATCTCCATAAGCCCTCTCAACACATACACCAATAAACTAATTATTTTATTAATTCTGTTCTACTTATATTAATAACTTGGTATTGTTCTCTCAAGTCAGTTCTCATAACCAGAATTTACTCCTGAGTTATTTGTTCATAAATTATTTGCCCAATATAACTAATACGCGTAAAAGTCTGCTGAATTCCTTACATTGTGGTGTTAGAAATTTTGGTAGATTGATTGATATGACGAGATGAAAAGGCGAAATTACATTCTTTACTGGTTGTGACTTTTTGTTCAACATTACTTCTGTTTTCATTCAACGTGATAATTATTCAGTGTAGTATTTTTGTTTTCCCGTATGATAATTGATTTTTCATAACACTAATTTGTTTGAGTGTAATGTTTGTTTATGAAACGAGATTTTTCATATTAAATCAACCTAAACTATGCTCAGCATGACATGCAGCATGTGATTTGTCATAATTCTAGGTATTTTTCATGTATGTGACATTTTCTTAATTGGTAAACGAAATGGGTGTACAATCTATATATTAATGAGTGTATTTCCGAATAAGGTCGTCGTCGTGTTTTGGGTTTAATAAATCTTTATTTGTACTAGTATTGGTGTTTTTACTTCGCGTCTTGCGAATCGCAGTGGTTCTTCTTTTAAAAAGTGTAAGTAATAAGCGATTTTGACATAGACGTCAGGGAAGAATGGAAATAACAATTGGCGATGCAGTCATAACATTGACCTAATACGTTTGTTCCGTTGTACTATTTAAACTTGGATTAATTTTAATTTGATTATTTATTCTTTGAAGAAGTGGCTTACACTAAGTCACGAAACGTCGGAAAATCTAATTTCTCTATTCATTATGATATTACAAATATATTGTTTATTTATTTATAAAAATCTACCAATGCTCAAATTATTCGAATTTATCAAATCAAACCTTGGTAATGATACCTGCATTTGTCCTAGTTTGTTTAGTGCTGAATGACTAAATCATTGTCAGACAATCATGTATAGCTGCCGAACAATCACACCTAACAAATATTTATCAATAGTGTTTAAACTTTTATTTTTTTTCATCGGCATTCTGTAGGATTCAGAGGATTAGCCTCTTTTAGCTTAACAATGCTTGGAATATTGTCTCAATATCTTGTTTAGGAATATAGATTTATCATTTGGGTAGGTTGTTTCTTGACTAAAATGTCAACGGAAACAAAATTTTCAAGCTGATAAATCTTGAAAATAAGATACTATTCAATACATGCATAAACATGATAAGTTATTATAAAATACGTATTCTGTAAATTAATTCATTTTGATATAAATCTTCCAATTGTTTTACTTTATGATATTCTCAAGGTATGTAGATTGGTCTGAAGTTGAAGAATCAACAAATCAAAAAATTTCATCTGTAAATCATTCGTTATCAAAAATGCAAGATGATTTAACACTTTTAAGTAGTGGATATAAAACACAAATTATTGGATTAATTTGGTGGACAAAATCTCAACAACAATTATTTAATGAAAACTTTCTAGATAACAATGATTTTAGTCATATGAATGATATTCTGATTACTTGTACATCAGATGGAAATATACAATTATGGAATCCAGAAACTTGTCATTTAGTTTCTGAATTAAAGGTTATTTCATCAGATGATAATTTATATTTGGGTTTTGTTCCATTTCTCGTTGAAAATTGTTTCATGTTCATAATATATTTCTTACTAAAAGTTTTTAAACGAAACATCGTTTATTATTTGGTTAACAGTAGATTGCCAGTTTATTAAGTATCTTTGTTCTATTTTCATTAATGGTGTAGATATGAACCTTTATGTTTAAACGCAATTCAATAATTCATTTTTTTATGGGATGCAGATACATCCAGCTGACGAGTTTCAAATAAGACGAAACGTCCGTCATGAATTCCACTGCTAAGTCACCATCCATCTTTGCTTACAATTCAATAAGTTCAAATTAATCAATTAATTTCAAGATCTATTAATGAAGAGTAATTTGATTTATAGATTCTAATTTTCAATTAGGTCATGATAAGCTATAGATAGTTACTGTGGGCCAAAATCTGAATTATTTCTTTGATATAAATACATACAAAAGATGAATTTCCTCATTATTGGGATATTAAATAACCACAAATGTCAAAAAGTAATCCACAACTCAACAGTGATCGATGGCATGTTTATTTAGTCTTATCATGCTAACCAAATTCAGTCGACCAATTTGGAACATGGTCACTAGTCCAAGTAACTTGAAATTTCGTGAATTATGCTGAAATGTTAGGTTGTTGGAGTTCATCATCTCAGATGGTCTGGGCTATTCAAAGTGTATTTGAGTAACGTGGGTTCGAATCACGCAAAAATATCAATTCTTTTGAGAATTCAGTTACGTATTTCTGTTTAGTACTAACTCAAGTCTAGGGTTTACTGTAGGTTAACTTCAACCATCAATGGGCAGCATCATTGATGAACATGGTGGATCTGATGCAGATGTGAAGGCGCGGATCGACAAAGCAAGAGCAGCGTATTTACAACTGAGGAACATCTGGAACTCAAAACAACTGTCAACCAACACCAAGGTCAGGATTTTCAATACAAATGTCAACATAGTTCTACTGTATGGGGCGGAAACCTGGAGAACTACGAAAGCCATCGTCCAGAAGATACAGGTGTTTATTAACAGTTGTCTACGCAAAATACTTCAAATCCGTTGGCCGGACACTAACAGCAACAACGTACTGTGGGAGAGAACAAACCGAATTCCAGCGAAGGAAGAAATCAGGAAAAAGCGCTGGAAGTGGATAGGACACACATTGAGAAAAGCACCCAACTGCGTCACAAGACAAGCCCTCACATGGAATCCTCAAGGCCAAAGGAAAAGAGGAAGACCAAAGAACACATTACGCTGAGAAATGGAAATAGACATGAAAAAGATGAACAAGAATTGGATGGAATTAGAAAAGGAGGCCCAGGACAGAGTGGGTTGGAGAATGCTGGTCGGCGGCCTATGCTTTATTGGGAGTAACAGGCGTAAGTAAGTAAGTAAGTAATCTAAGAAACGAAATGTCGGATTTTGGATTCCCTTGATTTAGCAGTCATAAGAAAATGAATAAACTACACAATTATAATTTGTAACGTTATATAATTTACATTTATATTTATAATGTGTTCATCACATTGTGAACAACAAATCAAATAAACCTAGTTGATCGTTAAATGTATTTAATACCGTAGGACGATTCGTTCAAAATTCTAAACGTCTATGAACTTCGTAGACATAATTTGTCATGAGTGTTTTATAATTTACCCGTTGAATTTTTCAACTAAAAGTAGCACGATTTATTATTCCATAAGCTGCTTGTCAGATCCCTTTAATATATATGCTAGTCAACCTTTGATTATAATATTATTATATTTACATCTCAGTGCGAACTGATATTTTGCTGCTTTACCGTAAATAAACATCATCACTTCAACTTTTAGACGGACTCTGCTACTATAATGTCAGAAATATAATTGAAGTTCAAAATAAATTTAGACTGGTGGTTTTCAGGTTATTGGACTTACACTTTACTGATTGGACATCACTACCAATTCAGTAACCCCATCAGATTTCAGTTTCCACAACCGAAACATTTAAATGTGCCTACTCTATAAGTCAGAGATATGCCATTGTTCCTGCTTCTCTGCATTAGATTAGAAATCGCATCTCTTCTCTTTAAAACAACCGTTAAGTTCATTTAGGCGAAAGTCGCTATTCTTACTTGTTATTATATGATCTGAAAAAGTAATCGAAAAAAAAACTAAACACATATTTGAATCATCATTACTACCTTTTTCTTAAATATCAAATGTTCTTGAACATATAAACATTTTTAAGTATAGACATAAATTATGAAATCAAATAATGGTTTATTTCTTTTTAACCTTTTAGACTAATGAGTCAGCGAATAGTTTAAACGGATCGACAGTTGATTTATGTTTGTTAGACTATCCCGGTATAATATGTTCTGGATCAGAAACAGTTGGCGTCAATGAGACGCTTTCATCCAAGGAAGATAGTGATAATAAAAAATCACCAGGATGTTTAGCTATTGCTTATACTGATACATGTGTACGATTATTTTGTTTGCATAAGGTAACGAATTTTAAATATTTCATAGATATTTTATTTCTTTTTAAATAAACGGCAATCAATATAAGATCTAAGGATTATAAAGTTCATTCATGAGATATCAAACGTTAAATCTTTTCTTTAAAGAATTAGGTGTATTTTCTTTTATGGTCAATTATTTACAGCTCACGTTAAATAAAAGTAAATTAGAATAACTTGTGGTCTCTAAATTATGCACACAGGCACTTTTGCGGTATGTGTATCTAAAACATATGTCATTCTACATGAAAAACCAAGTCAACTTACTTATTGTTGAGCAAGTAGAGATGATTGGTTGATACAGAAAACTTTGGTCTTATTCGTTTTTGTGATTGTTAGTAAGTTATACTTGGAGTCTTGTAAATATTGCTTTCAAGTTAGCCACTTTTCTTATGATGAGCCGTTTTGACCACGTTGTTCAGTTAAGAAATTTCTGAATTTCGAGATCAACAGGTTTATTTTCAAGATGGCTGATACACTTTCTTCTAATCAATATAGGTGTTAACTCTAACAGCAAAGGTACCTATTATTCACATGTAAACTCCCAACGCCAAAAGAGTATTATATTGATCAAACTATTTCGATTCTATGTACATATAATATTATTGTAGGCTAAAATAAACAGTCGCACAATTTTCGAGTAAGACGTTTCTCTCTCGAACTTGAATGAAAAGTCATATTAGCTCGGGTAGGTTGGTATCTGACAGGATCCCAGCACGGATTCAGGTCTTCTATCAACATGCGTCACTTGGGGAGTAGGAGGACTGTCCATCTCCAACCAAGGGGGGTATACTGAGCAGCGACTCGCTCTGGGTCACTTCATGGATGTGGATCATGGTTTTTGAAAGTGAAAAACATGTGTAAGCTTTAGATTTTCACTTATAGTTATCCTCGAAACTTTGCTCGTGTTTTTATAGGCTATCGAGTGAACGATGTTGAGGTTAGACTTAAGGTTATAGGCAAAGTAAAAAATCGGTCGATGAAATTTCGCATCTTTATCGACTTTGGTAGTTAGGAAACGCGTCAGGTATGCACAATCACTCCCTACTTCTACAGTTAATCTTCGGTAGTATAGAGAGGTAGATCGGGACAGTGTTAAAGACTTTCGTATCGGTCCATGAAGCTGTTGGTCTGAGTTATGTTGGTAAGCCCAAGTTCCATGGTTGTGGTCTGCGCGATAACTGTGACCAGGGGTTGAAGACGTAGGACGATTATGCTTAAAATCGCTAGCAGTGACTCGGAAGCATTCACTCTTCATCTTTCTGCTTCTTGAATTTGAATATTTATTTATAAATACCTTTTCAGCCTCTTCTAATTATATTCTCAATTTTCGGTTTATCTTATTTGCATTGCCACCACATTATTTCGATATCGTTTCAAATTCAGCTTGTTTGTATCATACGTGCTAATGTGACATAGCAGTGGGCCAACTCACATTTATCCAAGGCTCTACGTGTAAGATGGTTGATCTGACAGATCTTAAACAAGTTTTGAACTGATGAATCATGTGACTGTTTAGATTCATAATCGGTTAAGAGATATTTTCCAACAGCCCAATAGTTTGTGTAATAAGTTGAGTTATGCAAAAAGCATCAATGCCAGTCCAATAGAACTATGAAAGTGTAATTTTCAAATCCGCTGTTTCGATTACAGAATCGTTGCGTGATCAAGAGTTAAAGAATGATTATCATGATTTTATACACATCTCAATGACGAACGTGTTAGGATGTGCGGAAAAATATACCAATAGTTATCATGTTAAGTCTAATGTTGTCCTTGGACGCTAAATGTACACTCCCTATTGGTCGACATTTGCTTCACTTGTTTAATATTGTGTAAATGTTGTTTTCTATTTCTATGGTACGATGTGGTCTGCTTGGTTAGTATATAAACAGAGTATGTTTGAAATACAATGATTCATATCTCAGAGGCTGTGACTTGCGTTCTGGACTCAACTGGCTGGGATAGACAGCGAAGCAGGGTCAATCGGGACTCTAGGTCGTTCGTACGTGTTTACGTGTCACTGAATCGATCGATATAAACGCTGCGCATATAACCTGCAGTCCACACCCGTTACAACAGAACGTAATTAACCTACAAAGATAATATTCTTGAAATATCGTGTTCATGATTGATTTAGCTTAAAAATTTCAACAGATACAATTAGGAATTTGTGATTTTCTGAGAAATAAATGTTGGTAGATAACTATCGGTTCTTGAATTTTGATTTCAATCTTTGAAAATAATGTGACTGTTCGATAAGTGACAGGAAAGTAGTTACTTCTTATAAGTTTTGTAAATTGATGATTCAGTCAATGACAGGCAACACAGAACGAAATGCACAAATGCACCGGTCAAAGTTGCTATACCATATCAACACAGCAAGATTGAATTATCAAGACAAATCCAAAAGTAGAAGTTATAACAGGATAACTAGTAGTAAAAGCATTAAGCATAGATAATGTGATTCAAGAATAGGAAATAAATTTGTTCGACAAAGCAGTTTACTTTAATTCTAAATCTCAACATATGGATGTGTTCGGACCATTGAGACTGATTCTATGCCATACCATCCAACGTTTCCAACTATTTGTGACGATAATCAGGAGGATCACAACCAGATGGTCTACAGCTACTAACACGGCTTAATCCAACAGTCAGTAGCTCTATGGACTAATACCAAGTTTTTCTCCGGCTATCTTTAGCTTTCTAATGTACTACAAAAATAAGGGGATATAACTCATAATTTAAGAGGTGTAATTTAAGATTTTGCTTTTCAAGTTTTCTTAAAAAGCATAGTCGTCTGAGGAGAAAAGTGCGACAATAAAAGGTCTATTACAAATATGTCAGATATTGATATACTGTTAAATTTTTTGTACTTTTTTAATACGACTTTTTTCGTTTATTTGACGTATGAAATCGTAAATTATAAACATTTTTTCAGAATACGACTAACACTTTGCTTTAATGGGTTAAATTCTCGTTTACAGATGTGTCTAGTCAGTGAATCTGAACGAATATTTCCACAGTTGGATGATCAGATTACAGTCATCAGATTTTTTAGTCCATATTATTTAATTATTGGAACTAAAAATGGTTTGCTGGTTCTGTTATCTATAGGTTATAATACCGAGAACAATAATAATAATACTGACGATAAGCTATATTCACAGCCTATTCTAATCAAACGTATTATAAAAGATTACCTGGTTAATTATCAAATCCCTATGCCTATTCTATGCTTGAATACTTATTCACAACCTTTATTGTATGATTATTATTTACATCAACTGAAACAAGATAGGAAACAAACCATGGATTCAATAATAAAGTTCGATATGAATGAACACAACCAATCAGAGTCGTGAGTTTATAAAATTTGTTCTTATTACTTAACAGTAGAGGAAATATTGACTAAACTACGTGTATTAAAACAAACAATCAATCAACTAAGTAACCTAACACTTATTGATATTTACTTTTAAAAGCTAACTTTTATTTAATTATGGTAAATGTGTCAATGATATGAATCTCAACTGATTGCGGAGAGAAAATTGCATTCATTCCTTGTTTTTTTTCTGAATCATGAGATTCTGTATGAAAAAGAATTTTTCATTGTAAGATTTCATTTTACTTATTATTTCAATAGAAATAATATTGTTACTTTCCTTTCGATACTCTTTATCTTGTTAATTTGTTTGCAATATGTTGATCTGAGATGTCATCACTTAAATCGATCTAGATTCATCTCAAGCATGACTGGTAAACTAAAAAAATTTTCATAGCTTGATGATCAATACTAGAAAAGTCTTTTTAGATTTCTTAATTCATCGGTCGCATAACACAATGTGTCACATGTCCTAGACTAAGTAATTAGGTCTTCTTAAAAGTTAGTTTCTTTGATAAATCTAAATAATGAAATGAGAAAGCAATAACTATAGTCTCTGCACTGTATCTCGATGCTTTTGATTTGATGAACTAGACAAAAATACTTCCATCAAAATCCTATATCTATTTAATCTTACCTACTCAGAGAAGAGTGGGGTATATCGATTATTTGTTTTGAAGGAACAAAAAACTTCTTACCTGATTTTTATCTTAACTATCTTCAATTATTCACATTTTTAAACACAAGAACAGAGAGTTGGTAGTTTATTTCACAAATCGACCTTTGTATAACAATCATAGGGAACTAGAAAGCACTGAGCAACTGTTGAGTCCTAATGTGGTACTGCGTAGCAGTCCGCATTTACGAGCGTATCATGATCTTCAGATCTTGCGGTGAGTATTTAACTTATAGACCTATAGTGGTAGATAAGAAATCCAACATTGATGCTAACAATGTTATTATCACTAGACACATAATTAACTGAGGGAACCCAGTTGAGCATTCACATCATATCATGTTTCAAATCACCGTGGGCCACATCTCCGCAAATAACTAACCACCTCAAAAGTTAAACGCTGTGATACCTTTGCTTACAATCCAAATATATCTCACTTAATAACCCTCAACTTCCTCTTTGAGTTGTTTCGTAAACTTTTCAGTACAACAGACTCGGACATGAGTTTTGTAAAATCCTGCCCTATCCGAATCCTTTTCAGACCAGTGAGTTGCCATCTAGTCATTTACATCTTTTACATAAATCAATTTGCCAAACTGTGTATTCAATATCCACTGTGATTGATGGGCAACTACAATAACAGAAAACGTATTTCACCATCCATAATCTACTGAGTAGATACTAGTAAACAAAATATACAGATTTTGTTTAACTATGCTGTTACTCGCAACCTATTTCTAAAATAATAGAATACATACGTTTAGGAAAGAAGTAATCTTGGGAAATTTTCTTAGGAATCTTAAGGAAAATACAACACATGTAACCCAGAAAGAAAGGTTGACAAAAGTAAAAACGAAGGAAAAAAGCAAGAACTTAAATAAATTAAAGTTGATAAAATATTTATTGAAGCCTACGATCATTTTAATGTTACTTCAGGGACAATTCATACAAGCTAATATTTATATTATCTTGTAAACTGTATTTGAGTCTCATTATTTGTTGAGGATAATTTAAATCCCCGAAATACATTTTAAAAAGGAAACCAATTAGAAAATTTACAAATTAATTTAAAGTGAATTTTGCTTATTGACTTACGGTACATTTTTAATTTTATTGACGTATGAAGCTGGTTTGATGAGTTTCGATGCATTTTACTGTATACATCAGTTCAGTATTATTTTACATTTAAGTGATGTTTGCTAAGTTGATAAATTATGCAATTAATCCATATAAAATTCAGTTATGTAGATGTAAATCAACATTCTTTGGCCTCACCCAATAACTATTTTACAATGTTTGTCCTTTGGAACATTCAGGATTGGAGTAGAAGAGAGCAGTTGCGTATCATTTCGAAATTGTCGTAAAATTTATTGCTGTCTCTTCAAAGATGTAGCACTATCATAAAGGTTAATATATTCCCCTTCGTAGTACTCAGCTATAAATGGCAAAGCTAGTAAATATGTATTATTCCATAATGTAATGTTAAACAGTTTCCTGTTGTAATAACAGAACAGGTTTATGCACACAGAAACAATCTATATTTAATATAGTAACTTCACATAAATCTAGCGTAGGATAGGTGGTTTAAATATAAAAATGTTATGTTTATTATTATGCAAACTAGGTAATAGGACTTTTGACATTTCGCCTCCAACCCCAATTGGTATGGGCAGTAGTATGGTTAGAAGTGTTTGAATCTATTAACAGTGTCGAGATAGATTCTTCATAATAGATAAATTTGTACTAACTTGTAAAAAGATATTTATTCTATGCGAAAAAGCAGTGATTTATTAACAAATGGAACCTTATATTCACACTCAGCTGTATGAAGTCTAAATTCACCACAGAAGTAAAAGTATGAGATATGTCATAGCTACAGTTCGTTTAGTTTTCTAGAATGAATCAGTAATTTGATTCAATTAACTCTTTTTTACGGTCTAAATATAGTTTACAAATTTTCTATTTTAATGTGAAAACAGTCCTCGTAAAAATAAATCATATTTATGGCCTAATCAAGATTTAGCAAGTACCTTTCAAAAAAAAACATATAAAGAGCATTTATTTGTTTACAACATGACTTTCAAAACTGTACAATAGTATAGTTTTATTTTTTAAAGCATGACACTAATACTGAATCTTTGACAATTTTATTTTTGAAAATGAAATGCAAAATAATTTCAGTGAATATTTACTTAGCTCCGTGAATGATAACTTATCTTAAATAGCTTGAGGTGCTTTTTTTGAAATTCAGGTTGAAAACGCTTTTGCACGTGATCCTTTAGAAAAAGAATGTTGTTAGTCTTTTGTTTTTGCAATAATCAACTACATACATGCAATAATTATAGCTACAATTATATTGATTGATTTTTTTATTGGTTGTTTAAATCTTCCAATCGACGTTTAGGACTGCAATCAACCAGTCTCTTATTGGCATATGTACATTCTGTGCGAACTGCCTCGATATTGCTTTAAGTTACAAACATTACAACAAACGCAGACTTCGTTCGTCCCATTTGCAAATCGTCAGCTGGGTGTACCTGAATCCCAGCTTATGTACATTACAGGACTAGAACGCAGTGCCGTTCACTCCAAACCATCGCGTTATCCACTCGGCTACTGAGTTCAGATTGTGGAAATCAACTTTAGGATCGAGATACATCCAGCTGACGAGTCGTATATAGGACGAAGCGCGCGTCCTGGATTACACTGCTAGCCACCATTCAATTCTGTCAACAATTATATTAGTTTCAATAGGTCAAAAAGAGTATTCCTTTATGAATGATCGCGAAATGTTTTTTCTGTCTACACTTAATGCTTCATATATATGCATATTTATTAATTGAATTATCTCTTGTTACATATTTCTTTCGGAATTTTTTTCTTCATAATACAAGTTGGATATGTCTTGCAATTGGAGCAGAGAATCGTTTAAGTGTATGGAATTTATCAATTTGTGCAAATCCTAATCATCATAATCCGCTGCGATTTTATCTTCTTGCTTGGTTACCATTGGAATCGCTGAAATTTAATAATAATAATAGTGATGATAAAAATGAGCATGTTGAACTGTCTTATCACGCCAATTTTTTACCAACAAAAAATCTAAAAGATATTCTGAAATTAATAAACTGTAAGTAGTATGTATAATTTATTGAATGATTTTCAAAATTTCCATTTTATATTTATACAAATTAATGAACTTTATTTACAGTTTTCTAAAAGCTACAATACAATTAAGTTATAACATCAGTATGCTCTGCTTGTGTTGAAACCAACTAATAAGGTATGTTATGTATCAATTAAACACTTGATATTTCAGCACAGAAATTTCTAGTAGTTTAAAGCGATTACGTAAGTTTAGACAACTATTGGAAGCAAATGAAGTATTGACAGTATATTGCAATTTAATTAAAATACAGAGATGAACGATTGTCTCTTTTCTCGATAGCATTGAAAGTTTATTGTGCGTTGCAAGTCAATTACGAATGGATATAAAAACACTAAAACAAAAAGTCAAATAATGAGAAGATAGTGTATTTCCAAAAATCTACCTTATACAATGTTTTTAATGGGATAACTAAAACTCATTAACACTCTGATACATACTTTTAGTGAAAAAAACGCACAAATATTATAAAAGATAGACTATTTTAAATGGTGGTTGGAGGTAGTCAACAGGAATCCCTGGACACGGGTTTCGTGCTACTTGGCACTCGTCAGCAAGGTGTACGTGTAATCTTGAGGGAACTGGCGGATTCGATCTCGTGTCACCCAGCTTTACATACAGAGACGTTACCACTGAGCTATCCGATAGCATTCGATCTGCACTAATAAGGACTAGACAAGCATGACATTGATCACCACCCAGTGAACAATCAATTGTGAAGATAGACTATCTTATGAATTATCTTCCTTATAATTTATCAACTATGACTCTTTAGATCGCCAGTGACCTTGTTGTCTAGAGATAATATAGCCTTGAATCACTAACCCAAAGTGGAGAGGCGCATTAATTAGATTCTCTGAATAACTTAATAATGGTTTTTAGTCCTTGAGGGTGTTATAGTTGCGTGAGGACTACCCCTTCGTGGTTCCTGCTAGAAACACGGTGTTCTGTAGCTAAGGGTCGCCGAGGTCCTATGCAGTGCCTGTGGGCCTACAGTAGCATGGGTGAAAAGCACCAGGGTAACGCCTATCGGCCGGGGTGAGGGAGAGCTATTGTCTTTGTTTTTCTGTGTAAGAATCCCACCAGCTCTCCTTCGAGATGGCTCAGGTTTACCCAGTTCTAGGTTGTTTGGAACCTTCTTGTTCCTGAGGATTGACTAAGTGTAGGTCTTATGGGAAACCTTCTGCAACATTCCCGTTAACGGGTACCACCTGGGGGTTAATTTGTTCGGTCTGAAGGAAGTTTTTCCCGATGGTGAATCGATTTATCTTCCTTCTATTTGCTTTTTTATACAGACGATGAAGAAAGTCGTGATAAAATCGACAATCCTTTTATTATGATATACGCAACGAATGAAATAACAGAAATTACAAATTTATGGATATATTCAATTGATGATTTGATTAAAACCCAACCGGAATCCTCATCATCATGTTTACAGATAACTGGAAAAGTGGAATCAATTAACCCGGTGTTTATACTTCCTTCTACAAATACTAAATCATATCACTTAACATTATCATATTTACAGTTAATTACATTGACACGATCATCATTAAATAAGTATCAAACTGAAATCCAATTGTTAAACTTCTATTCTAATGGTTTACAAATCAAATCTAAGAAAATCATTGGACCACAGTCTGCATATAATGCATGTATGAAAGATAATCAACATTATGTATCATCTTTTCCACTTATCAAATCAATCATTATACAAGAAAAGAATAAAATATACATTGCAGCCGCTTATGGTAAAGAATTATTTATTTGGGAAGAAACGTACCATTCAGAAAATAATTCATTGTATTATAGTTAGTTTATTGGAAGGATGTATATGTAAATAAATTGTTTGCTTTTGTCTACTTTTACAACAATGCACAGTATTTCAGTTTCATTACGTGAATATTTCTACACATTTCCTAAAGAATGCGCCTAGTTACGTAAAACTAAAGAAAAAAACAAAATAGAATAAAAGCGTATCTATTACGCAATCGACGGGTTACAATAAATCATATTATCATTTTGCAATTATGGTAGTCTGTTAGAATCAATAATCATGTGAATAAAAACCGGTTTAAGGAAACAAATGACGAAATAAAAGCAGATATTTACGAGTTTTTTTTAAATTTTTATTGATTCTCAGACTGAATATAAATCATTTCTCGCGTTTATCGCTCTTTAGGTTTTCCAGTGCATCAAGATACTAATAAAAATATCAACAAAACGTTATGAAGATCGCTGAATTCAATTGAGATCACAGGTCGATTTAAATTAGGAAACCATTAAAAATCAGGAAGCACGAGACGGCCGTTTTATCCTAGTATCAGACTCCTTAGCAGTGCGCAACCACGACCTCACAACTGAGACTTGGATCCAGGGCCGTCGGCCTCACACGTAAAAGCTTAACCTCAAGACCAATGGATCGGGATTCAATAATGTACAGGTCTAACTTCAATCAACCCAGGATAATACACGGCCAACTTTCATTATAGATTAAATTCCCGGTTAAAGCGTTGTCAACATACGTTGCTGAAACGAAACGACAGTTCATTGCTTGCAGGTCTTCAATGGTTGTCAAGCTTAGATTGGTTCGTGATCTCAAGAACATTAGCAAGAATTAGAATGATCAAGCAAGCCAAATCTCTAAAACATACAGTTTAACCTGAACAAATGGAGACTATATATAAATGGGTAGAAATGAAAACTATCAAAATCTAATAATACAATATTTTATTAACTGAATTTAAAGGCAAAATCTTCTTTAATAAGAAATTTTCAATTCATTTAACATACTTGAAGGTTAGTGTACAGCGGTTAAATTCATGCGCTTATTGTATAAGGACTGATGAATACACCAGGCATTTTAAATGAATACCCAATCTTTAATCCTGCTAACCAATGGTTGTAAGCATTGTTTAAACTACTGAGATTTAAACCTAATTGATAAGCATCAAATGATGAAATGTAGTTCCTACGGTTCAGTTCATTAAAAGTTGATGCCCGAATTTACCTTTAATCATTTAACGACATTAATTCAATTGTTTAACAAAAGCTGTTTTAAAAACATAATCAGTAAATACGAATAAATAATGCTGAGCGTTTACAATTAAAAACAAAACAAATTTAGGACAGTCAAAAAATATGTGATTAATGTCACAATGTAGTTAACAATATATGTCTAATAACCACTTATATCCTTGCCAACTATAAGGTCTCATTGAATCTTATGAATACTAGCTTAATCCTACCGGGTTATCTGGACCATGTTAAACAGAGTAACATACTATGATCGATGACGAACGTAATTCAATGATAACTGCAGAAAAATAAACGTCCTGCAACTAGTGAACAAATTACTGTAAAATGAATATTCCAGTACTTTTTCTCTTTAAGCATTGTACAAAACGTATAAGTGTAGAATAGAACAGTTATGAAATTTTTACGAAACTTTTATTGGCGAAATCTTACGTAGTAATCATGTTTTGTATAAAAAAACAAATGCATATAACAAACAACTGTAAACAAGAAACCATTTTCATTCTCAAAATAATCTACCAAAATCATTTTTATCACTGATAAGGGTGATAAAACAGAAAAATTTATGAAAATATTCGGACATATTCAAATTGTGGTATTGCTAACAATAAAAATAATAATAACGCTACGCTGACGACATTGGGGCGATACTCTTTCATTAGTTTCGATATGACAATGAAGAGAATAATCCGAGAAATAAATCAAAAATTAACAGAATTTACGAGAGAATGATTACTGTATATGTGTGCAAAGAAGATACATTTATCGAGTTATATAATAATGTGGAGTTACGAAAAAGTTGAGTGACAAAAACAATTGATAAGTTTAAATGAAAAAAACGTATTGCTATAGTATTGTGCACTAAACAATTTAGAGTAGGGTTTTAAGTGAAATCTCGAAACCACTCAAGTGTTGAGAACAGTGCAGTTTATCGTCAATGTATGGAAATAAACCTGTTAATTTTACACTAATATGAGAAGAGATAAATCGATAACAATAAAATATATTAAGAAAAAACAATGACAATGAAATATATGGAAAATGTATATCGAGAAAATGTGTACAGAGATGATTTATCAATTACATATATAAGTGTCAACCTGACAGACATAGATTCGCAAAACAACAGTTAAATTAGCACTTAAGTCACTAAAATATCATTTTCATTTAATAATTTACAGATTGTAATTGCCATCAACGTGTACACACACATTACGTTTTCATGAAATAACTTCTATTCAACAATCGAATATAAAATAGATATTGCTGTGATGAGTTGTTAAATATTTGATAATAAAATATGAAAACTGTTGATGATTGTAGTACAGTGCGGAGAATAATACACAAGATAATCAAATACAATTACTTGAAATTATTTTCACTACTCATAACATCTAATGCTTCCAAGAGAACCTCCGTTGGTCCCTTTGATACTTCAACAGCGTCCTCATTATTAGTATAATCTATCAAATGTATAAGAAAGAAAAACAAAAAGAAAGTCATTTACCAGGTACTAGGGTATGAGCCGTACACTAAATGTGAGGGCTAATGTTACTACTCGGCTGCTTAAACTGACGTTCAATAAGGTTCGAACATGGGACCTAGTGACCGAAAGTTGAATACCTCAATCAACCCACCAAGCCACTGCTCTAGTCAAAATCCATACAGTAAAATTCATCATAAAAAAGGAGAGTAACATAATTTTAAAGAGTATAAAATTCCAGAAATCTTCCGTAATTTATCGCGACAATACACAGCATCGGAAACTAAAAACTTGAAAGTCATATCATAAAACTCATTTATTTCAATAATACAGTAAATCAACGCGTGAAAACTTGTTTTTCAAAATTACAAATAGTCGTATCACCGCACATTGATTTAACAGTTTTGAAAAATCTACTACATGATACTAACAGTTGAAACCTACTTGTTCAAAAGTGATATTTTTTGAATGAGACCGGGAGAGTTTTCCAAATTGCAGCAGTAACTGCAAAGATACTCTACATTCTCTTCAGCAAGATTTGGGATGCAGAACAAGTACCAACAGACTGGGAAGGACACCTGATCAGGATACCAAAGAAAGGCGATCTCAGCAAGTGTGATAACTACAGGGGCATCACTCTTCTCTCAATACCAGGAAAAGTCTTCAACAGGGTAATGTTAAACAAAATGAAGGACTCCGTAGACTCCCTACTTCGAGACCAATAGGTTGGATTCCGTAAGGATCGATAGTGTACTGACCGAAACGCAACACTACGGATCATTGTGGAACAATCAATTGAATGGAATTCATCACTCTACATCAACTTCATTGATTACGAGAAAGCATTTGATAGCGTGGACAGAACAACACTATGGAGGATTCTTTGACACCACAGCGTGCCTGTTAAAATAGGCAACATCATATGGAATTCTTATGATGGAATATACTGCAACATTGTGTGTGGAGGATAGCTCACAGACTCGTTCAAAGTAAAGACTGGTGTCAGGCAAGGTTGCTTACTCCTAACTTTTCTCTTTCTCCTGATTGAGATCGACTGGATCAGGAATACGTCAACACCTGTGGGAAGCGTGGGATACAATGGACAGCTAGGATGCAACCGGACGATCTAGACTTCGCAGATGATCTGGCTCTTCTATCGCACACGCAACAACAAATGCAAGAGAAAACTATCAGGATAGCAGCAGCCTCGACAGCAGTAAGTCTCAATATACACAAAGAGAAAAGCAATATTCTCCGATACAACACAACATGCATCAATCCAGTCACAATTGACAGAGAAGATTTGGAAGATGTAAAAAGCTTTGCATATTTGGGCAGCATCATTGATGAACACGGTGGATCTGATGCAGATGCAAATGCGCGAATTCGAAAAGCAAGAGCAGCATATTTACAACTGTAGAATATCTAGAACTTGAAACAATTGTCAAGAAACACGAAGGTCAGAATTCTCAATACAAATGCCAAGACAGTTCTACTGTATGAGGCAGAAACCTGGAGAACTACGAAAGCCATCATTTGGAAGATACAAGTGTTTATTAACAGCCGTCTACGCAAAATACTTCCGATCCGTTGGCCACTATCAGCAACAACCTACTATGGTAGAGAACAAACCAGATCCCAGAGGAAGAAGCGCTGGAAGTGGATAGGACATATATTGAGGAAACTACCTAACTGCATCACAAGGCAAGCCCTCAATTGGAATCTTTAAGGCCAAAAGAAAAGAGGAAGACCAAAGAACAAATTACGCCGATAATTGGAGACAGACATGAGGAGAATAAATTGGATAGAACTAGAAAGGCCCAGGACAGAGTGGATTGCAGAATGCTGGTCGGTAGCCTATGCTGCATTGGGAGTAACAGGCGTAAGTAAGCCTGTAAAAATTAATGAAACAAAGAATATATGAACTTGAAAAACAAAGCGCACCAAACAAATCTCTAGACCTTTAGCGCAGTATATTGTAACTGCTGTGATATGACAACGACTAGTAGCTTGAAATGGATGAATAAAAACTTGACTTCCGGCAACTTTACTACTGGTTCGGAACACTGTAGAAACGGATGTATAACCTAATTCAGAAGAGCATCTGTACATAATTTTAAGATAGTAAAAAAGCGGATAAAAGACATATCATTACATTAAAAGCAAACCAAATAAATTAAAGTGTCACTATTTTCCAATAACTCAAACAAAGCATTCCTTGAATACACATAATCCAAAAGAATGAAATTGAATAAAACGTCGTTGGAACATTATCAAATAGTTTCTGCTTCTGAAATTTAGAGTAAATTGATTATTATGAGATGGAAAGCTTCAGGATTAAT